TATGTTAAAATTCTAAATACTTTGAAAACTTTACTGTACACACTGCATAATAATGAAAAAAAAACTATTTGATTAGCTATGTGTTTGTTATCTGTTCTATTGAGTTTTGTGCAAAGTAAAAAAATAACATATAAAAATAAAAATAAATTAACATTTAACATGTAACAACAAACACCATCAGAAATATCAAATAAGACATAAGTAAATAAAAAATAAAAAAAAAACATTTATACATATAAAAAAAACTTTAACATATGCGAATCTCGCAATTATATATTTTTAAGAAGTTAACTCAAATAAAATACAATTTTAAACCGTCTTTTTTGTGATTCCAGGTGCTAAAAGTAGCATACGTAAGTAGCTTTGCCAACTATCTCTATCTCTTTCTGAATTACTTCCTCTCCTTATGCATAAGGTTTTATAAACCTGTAAGTTTTGGTATTATTGTAGCCAGCCAGTCGCCAACTCTACTTGGGAGAGAAATTAATTGTTAATTTATATTCCTTATTTAAACTATCTAACAATTAAATAACAATCTTTTTTTTAGTATTAGTAGATATTTGTTAATTTACTAATATTTCTGAACTCTAAGCTTGTGCTAGGATATGGTCCACGACAACAGTCGAATGGCGGAATTCGAACCCTCGACTGCTAGATCGGTAGTCCGTACCCATTAGGCTATGGGCGCTTTTTTTTTATTAAGCCTTTATTGCCGAAACTAAAAAACATTTGCAATTTCTGGTAACACATAACATTTTTTTTTAACAATTATCTTTTTTAATTTTAATTTTATCCTAGACTAGTTGTCGGCGTATCCAGATACACATAGGCCTCTTCCAGCTCCTCCCATTCTTGGCTATTATGCGCTTTCCTTGTCCAAAATAACCCTTCAGTGTTTTTTATGTCGTCAGCCCATCTTTTAAATTGCCTGCCTTTTTTCCGTTTGCCGTCGCGTGGTTGTCATATATTGGCGCTTTATATATAATTTGATTTCGCTTTTCAGAGTCCGTCTAAAACTAGAAATGTAAGTTGAGAAACATTTTCTTACCTGTGTTCATATTCATTATTAAAATCTATACTTAAAGTGTCAAAATTCTTATTTTCAGACTAACTCACGTGTCTACGATTTAGGAGTAAGTATAATGATTCATTTAAACATCTGTACTGTATAATAAAACTTCATAAATTACGAGAAATGTAATACAAAAACTAACAATACGCGCCTTATCCGATTTTATTTATTACTAGCTCGCGACTCCGTCCGCGTGGTATTAATAAAAAACAAAAGTGTGTGTTCCACACACCTATGTGTTCTTCCACACTATCCTCTGCATCTATACCAAATTTCATCGAAATCCGTTCAGCCGTTTAGGCTACAGACTCTAACAAACATCCATCTACCCATCCATTCATCCATCCATCCATCTAAACTTTCGTATTTATAAGTGTGGTATGAATATGATAGTATGATTTCTATTTTTATTCAATAATTATAAAATAAAATAACCTTTCTATGACAAAACTAATTTAATTTTAATTTTCAGAGTCTCCATTTTAAATATGTAAGTAAAGATAAATATACCACTAGATAATTGGAGTTTGCTACGAACGCTGTAGCATTTTGTAGAACATACATTATAAACCATGCTACGCCGTGCTACAGAACTATAGGCTTTGTAGACATTACCTGGTAAAATATTAATATACTAACGCTAGACTAAGGCTTTAAAGGAGTTCCACATAAAAATACATAATTTACAACAAAAAAAATCAAGATTGGATTACAAAAGGTTCACAAATGAAAAAACTGAAAATAAGCTAGAATGTTTTCTTAGAATGTTAAATAGAAATTTATCAAGTTATTCTCTACGAGTATCCTCAATAATCTTTGGCATTTACAAAGTCATTACTTTGTTAAACGAACGACATTCCCAATTAAACAATGCCCGGAATGGAAACGATTCCAATCTCCTTTAAATTACTTGATTGAATCTGGAATTGATACAAACACAGTTTTCAAGTGCGACAAACAAAATTCCAAAACCACTTTCTTGAATGTAATTTTATTCTTTTTTTTAAGTCGTTTTATCTGTATAATTTTCACAGGTTGCACCGCAAGTTTCACCACCGGTGAGTTTCCATAACTTCTATAACATTTTTTTTATAATATAAGGTGGTAAACAAGCAAGCGACCTAAATCCACCAAAATGAAAAGCGACCGATGCCCATAGACATCCGCAATTGCAGATGCGTTGCCTACCCTTAATTGACGCAGGAGCAGACGCACATGAAAAGGACATTTCCCGTTCCTATGCCGTCCTCCACCGTCAAATCCTGTTTTACTTCCGATCCTTCCCTCTTAAGAAAAGGGTGGGAATGAAAAGGGATTAAAGTTGGGCCTCCGGCACTACACTCATCAGAGTGTACGCAGAATTGCTTCCACTTCACGCCTGTCTTCAGCGTGGTCGTGTTATTGCCGACCCATTCGAGAGAAGATGTTAAAGCGGGCTCCACCACTGATAAATTAATACGTGTAAAACATATAATTGTTTTAAGGTTGTTATTAAAATAAAAAAGATTTTGTTTCTTAATTTTTCAGCAACATTACCAGACATTTAACAACAAGGTGAACATGACATTTATTTTAAAATTAGGTGCAAAGTGTCGATAAAAAAAGGGAAATATTTATAGTAGAGTATTTTTCTCTATATACGAGTAGTATAAAGCAAAGTCACATCCCGCTGTCTATCCCTATGTATGCTTAGATCTTTAAAACTACCCGACGAATTTTGATGCAGTTATTTTTAATAGATAGATTGATTCAAGAGGAAGGTTTATTTGTATTATATTTGTATAATTTAGTAGAAATACTGTTAATTTTTGAGGTTTCGAATATGATGTAAACAAACACATTTTCGTATTAGCATTTGACGTTAATAGTTTCTTATATGTTAAAATATGAACTTCATAATTATTGTTTATTTCAGATATTCCAACACTATGGAGACAGGGTAAGCAGGTTCTCATTACATTTAGTGTCTTATAAATCTAGCGCTTGTTGTTATTGTCCATTTGAAAAAGAATTGAGAAACAAAATAACAAAAATATCACAGAATCACAATTTTTTCACTAATAAAATTAATTGTTAGTTATGCTTTAGAATAATCGAAGATATTAAATTATATTGTCATAGATATTTTTACGATATTTGCATATCTTCTGTTTTAGGAACCTTACCACTACAATGGCGACAAGGTACAAATTTAATTTTCGTAATTTTGACTTATGTTGGCTCATTCACATGAAAGTAGTACTATTAATTATAATTATATATTATTATATTATATTAAAATCAATATTATTAAACTAACTTTTCTACATTTCAGCATCCTTACCACTATTATAGTGATAGGGTAAATATTACGTTTATTTATAAAACAATAAAAAATACATTGGAACGCATTTTATCGAATAATAGAAAATAAAATTATTCTTTCATTTTTATAATGTAAAATGGCAATCGAGCATGAGGCCACTATATGACAAAATGGCGAAGCGGCCATTGCCCATAGACAACCGCAACTACCGTGTCTACCTTTAAAGGAGGAAAGGGGGCGCACATAAATAATGTATTAATTGCAATAAAAGTTTTTGTTTCAGTACGAACATCCCTACGTGAGCCAATACAAGCCGGTTAGTAGATTTTTCATTATAATATTGTTAGTTTATTTAATTATTTTAAGATTAAATGTGGATGGCAAAGGTAGAGGAAGAGCGAAAATTGTGTGAAAGAAGATATGCTAAAGGGATTGCATTCAGATATGACGGCTGATAGAGATGTACGGAGCGGCACACTGTACAACCCTTCGTAGAGAGAAGGGCAAGTTGATGAATCGAATTTTGTCTACAGGAGTTTCCCTACGCATATCCGAGTAATTACGTAAGTATTAAAATAGTTAAGAAACATACTGTATATAAACTATTACGCACTAAAGTACTAAGGAATATCGATTTATAAATATGTACTATGAATAATAGCGATTATTAATATAAATGGCCTAATAAAGTACTTTTACATGTAGTTAATGCACGATATTTGCCCGAAATGTTCTACAAAGATATAGAATCATAGCGTCAAGGGCGAATCCAGATTTGGCGCCAGGG